ACGGACGACGGACGACGGACGACGGACGACGGACGACGACGGACGAAAACGGATAGCAATAGGTCACTTGAGCTAAAGCTCAGGTGACCTAAAAAACCTGTATTAGATCTGCAGCAGGTCAAGACCTGTTGTATCTCAGTGGAATATTGGACAATCTGAATTACTCTGTCATTTAAAAACAATGCAAAGTTGTTAAATACTGGACAATTTAAAGCATAAGACATTATGAAATATTGACCTTTGCAACATAACAAACATGGCGAATACGGAATTTGAGGAAAGTCGAACATATTGAAATACTGTGCAAACCAAATTATTCGAGAAGCATATAGAATGATTTATTTGCATATCTATTTCACAGAACACTCGTTAAGGTTTGTAAGTTTCCAAAGCTATATCCGCTTTCGTCATTTCATATTTGTTTTCCTCACCTTGTAACGACGTGTAATGGTTTTATTCATTTAAGCGTAAATATTGTTCCTCTGAGTAACAGACTCCATCATTTAGGTTTGTTAATGCGTCACAACAATTGCAACACAATATTACGCATTTAACAATTCACAGACGTGGTTCACCAAAGTACAGACAGAAGGATGTCATAATGACTGGCGCCATAAACATGATGATTGGCAAATACATCCAATTGGGGAAATAAAGAACTCTTCGTTCGAAAATTCGGATGGTTTGACAGGGTTTTGAAAAACACAAAAAGCTACACTTATTCTATGAAAACAAGTACTCTTTTATAATTGCAAACCCTTTTAAAACATGATTGGATTAGAAATCCTTTTGAAATCTTCAAGTAACCTTCTAATTATCTCGCCAAATTGTTGATAACCTTTTGCGGGATGTGAAATTTTCATTTACGATAATATTGAAACAGCCACGATAATGGAAAAGTCTCATGCGTTACTGACCATTAAAAAACCGTCTCTTGGGTTTCAATAAAGGTGATGTCATACTAGAGAACACATTCCGCTTTAGATTGATATTGAATGATTTCAATGCATGTTGTTTTATAAAACCATAGTCAACGTTGTAATGCTATGTATTCAAACATAGTCTGATTTGCCAACAAAGGGATACATGCTATTGATATCAGTAATATCCTATACAAATAAAGCGTAACTACTCCTTTAAAATATAAATATAAATAATAAATATTTTAGCAAATATTGTTTCTATTGCTGACAAACTTACATAAAGCCCTACCGGGCTTTATTAACGTTATCATCAAGATCAATGCGTGTTATAGGACAATGACAAAATTTACTAAAACAATCATTTCTTAAATAATAGTTTCTCTTGTTGGCCCGGACCTTAGAGCACAGGGGGTAAATGTTGGAGAAACCAGAATCTTGAAAAAAACAATAGTTAGGTAGATGATTTTGTAGCCATTCTTATGTGACCAAATGTTTCCTTTTCCGACTTGTTGTTGTTGTATTTTGAAGCTTTATTGAGGAGATCATCAGGGCTGAAATGAACCCTTCAATTTCACTTTGAGACAAATAGACCATGGGCTATCAGTTAAAAATCATGAAATGTAATAACCATATCGATCGGATATACACTTCTGAAGTTGAAATTAACATACAACCTATATGGCAACAACAGCCATTCTCCTTGGTCGTAACTTAGAATTTGCTATTGTCTTTCCATCCTGCAGTTAGTTTTTAGTTTTCGCAGTTGATTTGACATTCTCAGACTTGCTCAGAGATATATATCGATTGCTGGCAGATGCAGGTTTGTTGACCAACACTATAGGGACGTTTTGTGGTCGCCAGCATGTTATCATAAGTAAAATGAGTATTACCTTGCGTGATGTGATTGCTTTTTTAAATTGTTTAATTCTGTAGTTTGTTGTTTCGGATCCGTCGATGAAGCAGTAAACAGAATAATGGCCTTCCCGAACTACTGGTTTTATTCTGCTTTTGCCTTTTTTCTTTGTTCATATTATTTTATTGCCTTAAAAATTCTGAGGTAAAATTACGCTTTGTCGATAATTCTGTTCGCTATCTGCATACGGAATGGATACGTCATCGCTAATAGTTAGCAGTTTGAAATGTGATTTGAAAATGTGATACATCAATGTCACCTGAAATATAACTGTTTGAGTATCTATGAGTAGCAGATAACAAATGTCTGCCTGAATCACGGTGTTTGCAAATCCATCAAATACACGACATGCCATCCGGTGTTTAGGAACGTAATGCCTAGCAGACTTTAATCAAATTTATTTCTTTGATGCTCTATCGATCATTTAATTAAAATTCGCATTAACATAATAAAACGACAAGTAACATTGTCAAGACACGTGAAATTATCCTTGTCTCAAAGTATTCCACTGCTAATATAAATCTGGTCAAGCTTTCCTGCCAGTTTTTGCTACCTATCTATATCAACTGTGTTCTTTCAAACGAGAAATCCAGTATAGCAATAGCAATCCTTTTAGCAATACATTCTTTCTTGAAAATATTTTTTTCAGACCTATTCCGTATGAATGAGCTACCATACATGTTAGTAACCTGATAGAGGTGTATGAAGGAACAACTTGGTATATATTATATCATAGTATATACCTTTATTATTATATTGTTTCTTTGCTAAACTTCCTATTAATTTGCTGTGATTTGGTTGTCTTGAGAGATTTTCACCCTGACCTAATGTAGACTTCCATTTTGTGGAATATTTTTCTTAAACCATCCTCACTTGTTAAGTTAACAGTGCCAGTATATGTTTATTTATGTTAAGCTTTTTCGGGTTAGCTTCCCTTACTGTAAGTTTTGCTGATAAATAGAGTGTTTCCCGGTTTTACTGAACTTCTAATAATTAATGGCTAGTTGTAATTCCTTGTTTATAATGTAAGAAATACATTTTAGACAATATAAAAGAAGACAACAATTAATTTTCAACTTCATAAAAAACCCAGTGTTTACCATATGAATATGTTCCAAATCATCTTTTTTAAAATTATTTATCAAAGTTCTTAATCATTTTCTTTCTTTAATTAATTAATTAAATTTCAGAGAAAAAATAATTGAAAAGATGTTATTGTGTATCTTCTACAGTGTTCATGTTCTCAGTATAATCAACTTAATTACGATTTGAAGTAGGCTAGCAGATTTTTGCTTCTAGCGGTATTCCTATTTATAGCTACTACCAAGGATTATAAAAGGTTTAACAAAGTGCAACCTCAAATCTTATGAGGTATAAGGTATCTTATAAACAAATGAAGGATTTATACATCAGACCATTGATAGACTATTGGAAATGTACAAGGAAAATAAGACCAGGTGTTCCAGAACCGTAGGTGTCTTCTGCTTCATCGATGACAGCCGCCATGTAAATGTAGGTCAAAACCAAGTAATGTCGCGTCCTCACATCGAATCTCGGGTAGTGACAATATATCCACAAGATTCACTAATGAGCGTAAACACGGAAAAGCACCTTCATATCACAAAAAGGTGTAACATATTAACTGATGAAACCATAATGGCAACCGTAATATTTGTTCATAATTATACAAGTTAGGGTAGCTTGCATAACCCAATTCAACTCTGAATGTGTCTTTATCTTCAGTAAAGTATATCTGTCCTAAAACTCGTTATAAGATTTATTCTAAGAAGAAGAAAGTTCACATAAGCTGGATAAAAGGATGAAAACATGATTTAATTTCCAATTCATTATGTAGGATGTCATTGTTAAAGGTACATTTGATGAAAAGCTTTGATCAGTTTTATTATAGATATCTTTTTCTAATATAACACGTTGGTGCTACTTTCACGCCTCTTCATATGTACTTTAATGGACTCAAAGATCATAATGATAGATTATATTACTGCCTAGCTGTACGGGGTGTAATTATTTCCTTACCAGCCTAGCTATGAAACTTGACGGACCGAGGCAAATATCCGGCAATGTAGTGCACAAATATATATATATATCTCATTGATTTGTTTTTTAAGATCGCCCTTCTAATATTATCTGAAATAGATGTCGACTACTGAAGGACAACCATACAACACAGGGTTTCACAGGACGCAAGATGATGAAGAATACTGTTATATGTCCACCATCATGACGTCATTCCTGTACTTTTTCAAGGGACATACTCTTTATTTGTTCATGTTTTAATCGAGTTTTATTTCGAGTTACGATTTAGTTGAAACTTTGATTATCTCTTTGTTTTTTTATTGCATATTGGAAAGATTTTCGTATGGTCTATGCCTTTTTTTATCTGAGGTAGTTTTTTTTAAGTTAGGACTTTTATATACAGCGTATGCTTCATGTTAAGTTGCACTTTAAATACTTTTAAGAGTCGAACAATTCGTTCGAGTACAATAACAGCTTTGTTCTATCAGTTTTACATATAACCAAATCTAGGTATAACATTTAGATATTTTTTTAAATAAAGCAACATTTTCAAATGTCATGAGCACATGCATTTTACATAAAAAAAAACAACGTCAGGTCATACATGGAATGGTTTCGTGATTGAATAGAAAAACATTCAACATAACATAAAGAATTTAAAATAAAGGCAAAACATATAACGACCTTGAACTTTAGGGTGTTTATACGAACCTCAAGGGTCTGTACGGCTTTACTGAAGGACAAGTGGGCTGTCCAGCCAATGATAGCGTGACCTGGGTGGATCGTGAAGCTGCCGTGGAAACCTCCATTCCACACGCTATTAATTTGTAGGGATTGCCTCACAGCCTCGTTTGGATTTAATACCAACATAAATGTCACAACGAATATGGTCAGCATTTTGGTTGTACGGAAACTGCAAAGGTTTATTGTACATTTGAGAGGTAGTTGGGTAATTTGAATAATGAAATGTATATGGTCAACATAGTATAATTAGGAAATAAAGTATGCAGATTCCCCACGCCGGAAGGTTGGTGCATGGTTATCAGCTACATTCAAACTTTTAAAACAATGAATGCCAGGTTCACTTCCAATCTCAGGTAACAACTGTTTATACATACATGAACGTTGAAAACCATTATATTTCAATGTAATTCTATTGTGTTTTGATTATAATTGAAAATGTATAGGTTTTTGATTTGGATTTTTTTTATCCTAATAACCGCTTCGGTAAATTGCGATACTCTCTAAAAGCTTACTAAACACTTTTCTTTGCATTATTGTCTATCTTATGTGTCCTATGATCAGTCAAAACAGACCATAACAACCAAAGTCAAACAACTAGCCGCAGAAAGTTGTGTACACTTTGGAGTCGATAAGTGTCAAACAACAATTATAAATGAAATAATAAAACTAACAGTTAAGTAATTAGGGTTGGTTTAAGATTACCGTCAAATACAGATGTCTGGTTTCTATTTGCCTTTCCTTGATTCATAGTTCGTCTGAAAGACACTATAGTGTGTATTGGTTAGTGTTTACTTCTGTATATGACTCGTAGTGATCCACTGTACGTGTAGTATAGTGACCATTGATATCTAAATGGCATCTCATTTCTTTTGAGTTATAATGCCACATCACTTTACACGTAGAGCATTGCATACTCACCACTGACTTTATAAACCAACAACACTCGATAAAATATAGCTTTACAACAATGATAATTATGTTCGCTTGAAGGAAATGATACCAAATCGTTTTCTGAACATTCTCTCTTTCCAATCTTTCTTCGATTTACCGTTGTACACAGTGAAGAGTCATTTGATGGACTACTGCCAAGAGTCTACAGCTTAGTTTTATAATGATATTGCAGGACAGATTCTAGCGACCGTTCAGGATATAGAATGCAGGACAATTAGACGACTACAACCGATCTGATGTCTACTTACCTTTGTCTATATAGTGTAGGACAGCCTGGACGACAGTGACCAGCCAGTGACCAGCCAGCGATTACAATGCAGGAAAAGTTGACCGACTTTGGCAGTCCAGTGTTTTCAGTTATATTCTATTCACCTTTATCTAAACACTACTGTAACGAAGTACACTTTATTTCATGACTGACCAGATAAGGCACACATATACTTGCAAGTGTCAGTTACGTATTCAAGGTTGGTTCCGTTTAACTTTCGTCAGTTTCACGTATTAGTTTTATGTATTGCTTTGAAGAATAAACGAGTAAACTAAATATAAAAATAAACATAATATTTCAGAAAATTTGAAATATTTGAAATGAATATCGTAGGTAAGCAGTATAGTAATTTACAAGTAATTACACTTTGTCGTCAATACACCAGGACAAAATCGGAACTTACATCGATATTAAAATATATCAAAAAGAGCGGAAGAATCGAAACAAATTGTGACATAATGAACTACAAATAAACGGTTAAAAAAATGACACGTTTTCCTCAAGACAGCAGATGTTAGATTCTAGCGAAAATTGAATGTGTTTTATTGAAAAGCGTGGGCAGTTTTTTCTATTATTAAACGAATGTAGGAGGTTCAATAGCACGCTGTCATAAACATGCAACAACTAGCTCATCTTGTAATGACAGGATGTGATAAATATTCTTATTCCTACATAACATGAATAGGTTTACGCTTGTAACACAACGGTATGATAACCACTGATAGTGTTAAGGTTACATGTAGGTTTGTAACACAAACGCTAGGATGACCATGGTAGCTTAAGTCTCTAAATGAAAGATTCAGATAGAACATACTAGATTGGTTGCCGAATGGCTATTATAGCTGAGTATGGTTTACTAGTTGTTGCTCAATGGTTATTATGATAATTGATAGTGTTAGGTCTACAACAGAAAGATTATTATCACAATAGACATTGTGGTTAAAAAGATGTTTAAGTCATGAACTGTCCCATTTTTGCAGTATAATGATTATCAAAGAAAGTTCTCTACGGTCAACTGATAGATACCGAAAGGCTCAATACCTTTCCTCTAAACATGCTTGTCGATACAATCTTACATGTACTTGGAATTTGGTATAAAAGTTTTGCAAGCCTATAGACATACACAATATGCATGTGTATGACTGTTTAAATCGTGAATGCAAAGATAGGACACAGGGATCATGAAAACAGTCTTAGCGTGTTTTTCGAATTATAAGTGTCTATTAAATAGAGTTTTTCGTGGAAATTATGTAAAAGTTGATGAAAAATACACATCCATTGAGTGTACATGAACAAGCATTCAAAATAATAATTGCCATGATATCGCTGTCATAATATGTGTTCCTGTAAAAGTTAAAGTACTTTTGATATATTATGTTCATCAAATTTTGAACTGGCTTTGATTAAATGAAAATATCATAAACAGTTGTAAACACCTCTCGATCAATCGAAGCAAGAAAAAAAAGAAATATTCGTGTTTCTATTTGTACCGTATCATGTATCTTGCTTTAGAGATTTCCGAGTCCAGATTTATAGCTGTTGAATTCCCTTCAGGCCAGCTATCCGATACAGTGTATAGTCCTATGTGTATCGCGGTGATAACAAATGGAATAATAAAAGTCAGTTAAGTTAATTACGATCAAAGTATATCAAAGTTGCAATATGGTTGAAATACCATGCCGAAGGCACCAGGCAAAGTATTCCGCCCGGTCATATTATACTGACATCGGGAGAACCAGATATTTCCATTACCCAAATGTCGAATGTTAATCAAGACGGACTCTCTAACCAACTACGATACCTGATCAGTCTAGTTCCGCTTCATTCCTCCCTCATTAAACCATCTACTGAAGCCCGAGGACACAAGCGACCTTCGACCACTTTCAGTGTGTATATTAAGCCGGGAACCAAATACAACAGAAAAAGAAGTAGGCAACGCCAAATCAGAATTCGATCCCAGGACATCCGAACTGTAAACGGCCCCTTAACAAACTGAACTGCCTGAGCCACATGGTCACGCTGAAAATAATGGCATACAATGTATTGCAGTCTTTAAATAAATTTAATCGGTTATATTCTTTTTCAAAACTCAATTAGCAATCAAGTCAGGTAAACCAACAATACCCCTTTTCACATTATTTAGAATCATACCATTTGATTGATACCCTACTTTTTCACATCTTAGCAATCAAGCTTGGCAAACTTTCGCATTTGTTTAGATTGTGAAGCAATAGGCTGATTGATGCATTTATACTGTAATATCGAAATTGTCGCGGAAATCGTTTTCCTTTGCCTTTGACATTATTATATGCTCTCATTCATCTTGTGTTACGTTGTGGATAAGATAAAGCACCTTGTCTATGTTAGAGATACATTGTAAAGATCCAATATGTAATCCGCGTGAAAATCGATCGATCAGGACTAGAGGAGTTATCTTATGTCATTTCCAAACACTTACCATACGACATTCATTAATTGTAACGCCGTTCAAAAATCTTACACGATTTAATCAATGCTTGTGTACTCTTGCAAAGAAAAACGAATATACAATAATTATATTAAAGATATCAAAATCCCTATCAAGAAGTGATTAGGTTATTTTGTATTCTTGCAAGTTTTCGCCTTACACGGAATAACAGCCTTCTAGTTTAATTTCCCCCTCCTTAAGCACGATGATTTCTTTCTTACGCACAACTTGGTCATAGGGAGTACTTTATATTAAGGAATGTAAAGTATAAGGCTAAGTAACACATGCCTGATACTGCTCCTGAAATAGCACTTGACACGATCTCCATGTTAATGAGGAACCTGTTTTTTTGGGGTTTTTTATCTAGTGTTTTTCTTATTAAGGAATGATATAAAAAAAAAAGCATACGAAAAATAGGAGATGTATTCCCATTGTTAATTTTAAATAAATATATCAATAAATAAATAATAATAACAACGTTGAACAGGAAATTCATGATGACCTCTTCCGCCTTGTCGTCTCTTCCGTTCCTGTGACATGCACTGTTCAGTAGCATCGCTGCTGTTGATTTGAGATGATTCGTTTTGTTGTAACGCTGTGATATCTTTTCTGTGTTAATTGTTTTCATTCATGAGCATTTTTTCAACGGCTCGTTCGAACAATTACTTCAAAAACCCGTAAGCAAAAAGGTATTACACATTTGGATTTTTTATCAGTTTGTCGCATGTGATATCCAACTGCTTTGTGTGTCACGCATGTCCTGAAACCAGCGTACTATTTGTATTCAGAACATAAAGTTCCATGTATTAATTGAAATATGAAATAAATAAAAAAAAGCAATTATAATTGTAGCTTATATGTGACTTGAGTTACAAAATGAAGACATTGTTCAGCACGGTTGGCATGGTCTCTTAGACATGCTAGCATTGAAGGACGCCAGAAGGAAATTGTTATTGTTATCATACATCTCGTGTTAAAGTTGATGAAGTACCGCTGTTTAGTAGACGTACATTGTAATAATTCAAGTTAACGTTCTCATTAATATCGATCTTGGAGGAATTGAACAGATATTACATTTCAGAACAACAAACACAAAACGTTAGTTCGTAGGTCGTCTCAAAGCGGTTCACAAATTATTTCCCGTTGTTACAGGGCCTCTGCAACCAGCTACTATCTTTCTCAACCCCCTGATGAGGATATAGATAGCCGGCGCTGTCATATCGGCGCTCACAGCTAGCATTCAACAGTTTTAGCACTGCCCAACCACGTATTCATTTACAGCTGAGTAGACTGTTAGTAACCCGCAACCCTGCGGTCACGAGCCCGGCGTCTTCCCACTAGACTTCCGTGCCTCCTACAGCAAATCGTCAAATTTGAATGACATAGCTATATCTTGTTGTTAGCAGTCCCGTCCTGATAAACTCAGGAATAAATTCTTTTTCATATGAAACAAAAGCAAATCATCCAAAAGAGATGCACAAGTATTCTCCAGTAGTAATTAATAGTCAGCTAGCATATCTTGATACCGAAGTCAACAACCATATTGTCAACAAGGAACTTAATCATTCACAAAATGTCATCTTCATTATATTTGCTTTTGGATTTTTGCTGTGCTTTGCACAAAATAATAATAATTTTCAACCTGATATAATGATACTCCAAATGGAAGTTAGAAGCTTGGATAATTTGGTTGAACAACTTGAAGAGCCAGCTTTAAATATAAATCTTGGACAATTTATCATATCTATTCTTTTATTTCTTCTTTCCTAGCACACACACATTTTGGTAACCATTCCTTCCGAGTGGCGCTTTTGATGTTAAGCTCAATGAAATAAAACTTGTGACATTGCTGTATAATTTTTCACAAGCTTCTATGCAAAACTGGTTTGGAGGGTTGATTGCCACCAATGTGGGTATATAAGCAGCCGCTTTGTGAGTAAATGGCGTTTTTCAGCAGATACGGCTTCAACGAGGGATAATTAGTGGTCCTGTAAACCTGGTGTTCACGTCAGTTCTTCTCACAGCAGCTGCAGACAAATTAAAGTAAGGAAAGTGACAATTAAAGATGCAAGATGTACTGCTTTAAGCCAGCAACAATATGCAAATAATTAGTTCCTTAAGTTTGCAACGATTGTGTGTACGTCGAAAGAAGTCATCGGTAATGTCGTTCGTATTTGGTATACATATTTGTATAGTAACGTGTGTAACCTAATGTGACTATTTTGGTGATTGTTAGAATGACCATTTTATCAAATGCAGATGAGCGATAGGTTTGGCAAATATGTTAGACATTCTTAATGAAAGGATGCTGTTTTCTGCAAAATATTCGGTTTGTCCATGGTATCTTTAAATTGGCAATTCTTAATACCAAAACCAGTTGTGTTCCAACAGAATTATATCTTCCAATGAAATGGGATTTGTTCCATCATATTTAACAAAGGATTTTGTATGTAAACTTTTATATGAACGCAATTGTGTGATTTAAGGAATCGAATTATTTAGGAAAAAACTATGATGACGCACGTACGATGTGAACACACAACATACATGTAGGAAAAGACATGAAAATACGATTCCAATAACAAAGAAGATTGTCTTGGGTTAGAGTTAACCTAATTTTGTCGATTTGTGGGATATAAGTGTAACTT